GCTCTTCCTCTTCCCACCGAATTTTCACATTTCTCTCCGCCTCCTCCGCTCTCATTACACAATTAAATAAATAAATTAAAAAAATATATTAATATATTATATATATTTTTGAAAGAAAATCGAAAATCTCATATTTTTAAATTCTCAATAATTCCCCTCTCCTTCTCTCTCACATGCTCGCTCGCTCCCTCCCAGTCCCAGTTCAGAACTCGAGATCTCTCTCTCTCTCGGGTTGAGGAGAAATTTTTTCGTAGGCCGGGGTGAACAAGCCCTAGATGCTACTTCGGAGTACTGTATAAAGGGGAAGCAAAAGAAGAAGGTGGAGATTGGATTTCAGTGTTTGCAGCTGTTCGTCGATTTCTTCGTCTTACTCTGGATCTGCTATTTCGCTTTTCCTACTCTGATTGTTTTTGTGCACGTTCTGATGATTGTCTCTGTTCGCTCGAGCATTCGCGCCCCCCCGAGGTTTCGATCGAAATGCGGCTGACGACGTGGTGCTGAGACGAGGAAATTGAGGACGACGAGTACGAGGAATTCTGTGTTTTTCAAAGGCCGGAAAGATGTCGGGTCCAAGGGTTTCGGATCCGAGCAAATTGCATCTGAAGAGGGAGCTTACTCAAATCAAGAAAGCTGCTCGGGTTTTGCGTGATCCGGGCACGAGTTCCTCGTGGAAATCCCCTCTTAATTCGTCGAGATCCATTGCTGCGGCGGCGGTGGCAGAACGACCGGCGAGAAGGAATGGCGGGAGTTCAAGGCACAACGGTAATGCCCAGTTGGGTTCTCTGTTCCAGGCTCGAGCAGAAAGTAGCCGGAGCATTGGGAACGGGAAGGAGAAGAGGGTATTCTTGTACAACTGGAAGATGCATAAATCTTCCAGCGAGAAGAGCGGATTGGCTAAGAATGGCGAGGATGAGGATGGTAACGATGGGTCCTCCTGGATCCAAGGCAGTGTTGATGACGATGACGATGATGCTGTGAGTGACGCGAGGAACTGTGGGGACTCGAAGAGTGATTCGTATTTGGGAGAGACCCGATCGGCTTCGATGATTTTCAGGTGTAGAGACACGAACCTAGTGTCGCCGGGCGTGTCGAAGATCAGAAAAAGCGGCGTTAGCAAGAAGGGTAGGAAGAACTCGACCCATTTGGATTTTTTGTCTAAATACCAATCGAAAGAAGCAGTTCTCGACAGAAAATCTGCGAATGCTAGGAGATTGCCTAGTAGCCGACATGCTGCATTAATTTTAGGTGTAGGGAGAGATGATTCTGCTGAATTGTCGGACGATACGGAGGATTATTGCAATTCAGAGGATCTGCGGAAGATTACAGGGGCTTCTCCCTTGCTTTTGAAGCTCAAGCACAAGAACTGGTCTCGTTCTTCCACCAAGTTCTTGAAAACAAGTGGGAAAGACGATTCTTCTTATACTTCCAATAGGACACCAGCCTTGTCGACTAGTTCTTACAACATGTACGCTGCCCGTAATCCCAGCACCATTGGATCTTGGGATGGCACTACGACTTCGCTGAACGATGGTGATGATGAGTTAGACGATAATTTGGATTTGCCAGGGCAACAAGGTTGTGGGATACCTTGTTATTGGACAAAGAGGACTGCGAAACATAGAGGTGGATGTAGAAGTTGCTGTTCCCCGTCTTTGTCGGATACTTTGAGAAGGACAGGAAGCAGCATTTTATGTGGGAGCCAGTCCGTGTATCGTAGGCATAGACATTCATCCGGAAGCTACAATAAACACAAAATTGCTTCAAGAAGTGAACAGGGTGTTTTGCCTTTGCTCACTTATGGCGCTGAAGGTAGAGGGGGTTCATCCATAGGAACTGGGCGTAGTGACGATGAGCTCTCAACCAATTTTGGAGAGCTTGATTTAGAGGCTCAAAGTAGATTAGACGGGCGAAGGTGGTCTACCAGCTGTAGGAGTCAGGATGGTTTGGAGGTTACACCTGTAAATGGAGATGTAGAAGAAGAAAGCACACCCGAAAATATCAGGAGCTTGAGCCAAAAGTACAAACCCATGTTCTTTGATGAATTGATCGGGCAGACTATAGTGGTTCAATCGCTAATGAATGCCATCAAAAGAGGTAGGATTGCCCCTGTTTATCTTTTCCAGGGTCCTAGGGGAACTGGGAAAACATCAACTGCAAGAATCTTTGCAGCCGCTCTAAATTGTGTGGCAACTGAAGAATCAAAGCCTTGTGGATACTGCAAAGAATGTACCGATTTCATCTTGGGGAAAAGCAAGGATTTTTGGGAACTCAATGGTACAAATAAAAAGGGAGCTGATAAAGTTAGGTACCTTTTGAAAAACATGTTAACCAGACTTCCACTGGATTCCTCGAGATACAAGGTTTTTGTGGTTGATGAGTGTCATTTACTGCCATCTAAGACATGGCTATCTTTTCTCAAGTTTCTCGAGAACCCTCCGCAAAGGGTCGTCTTCCTATTTGTAACAACGGATCTCGACAATGTCCCCCGTACCATACAGTCAAGGTGCCAGAAGTACCTCTTCAACAAACTCAAAGATGCTGACATTGTAGCAAGACTAAGGAAGATTGCTTCGAATGAAAATCTTGACGTAGAACCTCAGGCATTGGACCTGATTGCTCTAAATGCAGATGGTTCACTTCGGGATGCGGAAACGATGCTGGAGCAGTTGAGCTTGCTGGGAAAACAAATCACTGCCTCCCTTGTAAATGAGCTAGTAAGTACTGTTTCGCATTTCCCTAGAATGAAAACAATTAAGATCGGGTAATGTAAATATGCTCATATTGTTTAAGCAGGTGGGTGTTGTTTCAGACGATAAATTGCTGGAACTATTGGAATTAGCAATGTCATCTGACACGGCTGAGACTGTGAAGCGAGCTAGAGAATTGCTGGACCTCGGGGCCGACCCAATAGTCTTGATGTCTCAACTGGCCAGTCTTATCATGGACATCATTGCTGGAACGTACAAGGTTGTCGATGAAAAATACAGCAACGCTTTCTTTGATGGACAGAACTGTGAGTTTCTTGCACTTCAAACCAGTATTTCCATCTAGATTTTTTGTTTTTGCTGATGCTAGCGCAGTGATATATACATATATAGTTGTTATGTAGTTTCATTTGCACAAGAATGTTAATTCTGCAAATATGATCTCCTAGTATGTTGAGACAACACCAAGAACTATTTTTTGGGTTTGTCCTCTCGAATCAACACCTTTAGTCTTCTTGTGAGAGGAATGTACCATATAGAATGAATTGAATAGTTTTGTTTAACTAGGTTTTATTTTCTCATTGTTGGCAAATCTCGCTCTTCTTCCACAGTGACTGAAGCAGATTTGGAGAGATTAAAGCATGCTCTGAAACTTCTTTCTGAAGCCGAGAAGCAGCTTAGGGTTGCTAATGATCGTTCAACGTGGTTCACTGCAACTTTGCTGCAGCTTGGGTCTATGCCTTCTCCAGGCACCACCCGTACAGGTAGCAGTAGAAGGCAAAGCTCTAGGACAACTGAAGATGAGCCATCAAGCATCTCAAGGGAAGTTATTGCTTACAAGCAGAGATTAGGGCTTCAATTTCGGAAATCAGCATCTCCTGTTTCCATTATAAAAGCAGGAGATGGAGCCCAAGACGTGAAATTTTCCTCCGAGGTTGACAATGGCTATAAATCCTCATCCTCAAGCCAGATTGCAGAGAGTGATGCCTCCATTGCCTCGCATGAAAATAGCACGGCCAGCACTACTATGCTTACCTGCAGAAGTTCAGAGAAACTAAATGATATCTGGATAAAATGTATAGAAAGATGTCATTCCAAGACACTGAGACAGCTGCTATACTCTCATGGGAAACTATTGTCAATCAGTGAAGTTGAAGGTAAGCCTCTCTTCATCATTCTTTTTTTTTTTGCTATAAATCTCATATTATGAAGGATTATCAAGTGATTTGTCAACTATGATACCGTTTGCAGGTATTCTAGTTGCTTATATTGCGTTTGGAGAAAGCGATATTAAACTGAGAGCTGAACGGTTTCTGAGCAGCATCACAAACTCGATTGAAATGGTATTAAGGCGGAATGTAGAAGTCAGGATTATCCTCTTACCTGAAACAGAGTTACTCATTTCCTATCAGACTAGAAAGATGGCCATGACCAACAAGGACAGAGATCAAAATGTAGCAAGTGGTTCAAATGCTGAATCACCCGGCTTGTCAGATCCTGAAGTTGGCACTGGCGAAGAAAGCAGCCAGGGGATCCCGATGCAGAGGATAGAATCCATCATCCGTGAACAGCGGTTGGAAACTGCGTGGTTACAGGCTACAGAGAAAGGCACACCTGGATCATTGGGAAGATTAAAACCCGAAAAGAATCAGGTTCTACCCCAGGAAGACACCTACCGACAACATAATAACACGGGTTCTGTGATTTCATCTGGACCGAACTCTCAGCACTGGATGGACGAACTAAGCAATGGGGTGAAGATGCTGAAAATTGATGGTGGGGGTGGCGAGTTACGAGGCAATCAGACCGGTAAAAGGGCAGAGCATTACCCTCTTTCCCCGAGCTTACTCCACGACACCAACTTCACAAACAACAAAGACAACCTGTAAGTCATTGCGCTTTTTATAACATTCTTGATTCAGGCAAAAACCATATATAAGGAACCCGATGAAAAAACCTCGTTAACGAATGTTCGTTGTCGTTTTTTTTATAGAGGGTATGAATCAGGACCGGGGGGCGGAGGCTGCAGTATGCTTTTCTGTTGGAACACACACAAGACTCATAGAAGAAGCAAGGTAGAGGTGGTTCATCGATGCTTATTTTTTTTTCTTGTGTTCCGGTGGCACGGGAAGCAAAACTCGTGTCGGATGATGATTTGGATGTGTCTGAAACAGGGGAAGGGGACGCCTGTAGGATCTCGGAGAGGCAAAAAGCGGCGATTCTCTTTGTTCGGTGGATGTGTCAAGCCAAGGAAAGCTGAGAGCAAGTTCAGAAGATGAAGTAAATCACAGTGTCATGGAGAAACATTTTAAGGTCATATATATATATACACATATTATTTAAAATTAATATAATCATCTCTCTCCCACGTAATTCTTCTTTCTATTTGATATTTTTCATGGATTCTATGGGATGTGAGGGCCACAAAAATATATTGAATGCAGCACAAGAAGACGGCTTTTCTTTTCATATATCCAAAATATGATCAGAGTGGTCTTGCATGCTTCTTTTACTTTTACAAGTTTAGAATTCGATACATAACATAATAATGCCATTGGTTGGAATCAAATTAATCTTCTGTCCACCGTACAAGTTTAGACCGGTTCCTCCTCCGCATAACCGGTTTTCCGGGTTTGTCCCTCCGGTTGTGTCATAAAACCGGATTGTCGAACTCGGTCACCCACCCATCTGATTACAATTTACAACAGTACTTTTAATAATGATACAAATAATAAGTGAAATTTAGAGTAAATCGTCGGCATTGTACGTACATGATATATATCTTCCTGTCTGTTAATCATAAATATCAAGAAAGAACAGCCATTGCAATTGTTAAATATGGACAATTAAAGATTGCAGATGATGTATAGGGTAAAAATGTCACGTTTGCTGATATATTTCCATTTTTTGTACAATGTTTACAGAAAGTTTCAGAGGACAATGGACACTGCATAAATAATTCAAGAACGCATTTTAAAAATCAGCTAAAAAAGAAAAAGTGTAGGATTATTTTCTTAATAGTAAAAGATAGGAAAAATGCCAAAAAAACACGGTACTTTACAATTTTGACAAAAAAACCACTCAATTTTTTATTTTACCAAATAAATATTAAACTTTTTAAATTTGACAAAATAAATACTTTAACTCTTCTACGATTGTCAAAATAAACAAAATAAATGGCGTGATTCAATGAGATGCAAACACATCAGATTATTTTATTTAGTTTTTTTTACAATCGAAAAAAATTCATGTATTTTTTTTGGATCACTAAAAAAGTTCAGTATTTTTTGGATAATCGCAGAAAAGTTTATGTATTTTTTGTATCGTTTAAAAAATTCAGTATTTTTTTAGATTCGTTTAAAAAATTTAATGTTTATCCGATAAAAATTAAAGTTCGTTGGTTTTTTTTAGGTTTTCCCTAAAAATATCACTATCTTTCAAAATCTGTCTGTATCCTCTCATATAAGAGGGGACTTGTCTATGCTTACGAGAAGAACATCCACAAAAAAAAAAACACCATGAAGATCTCTGCAACTGCAATATCAGTCGCTCTGTTTCTCCTTGTCGCTTCCTCCGGCTTCGTCAGCCCGAGACCGGTCGGAGTACCGTCGGATCCAGCCATGGATCCTCCCCCGTCTCCTAAGAAAGGCGTACGTCCGCCGACATTTCCGACCGAACCGTTTCCTCCTACGCCGAAAGGGTATCGCACGATGATCCGGGCATGCCCCTCCGGTTGTGTAATAAGGCCGGGTTGTCCAATCCAACCGGGTTGTCGAGTTCCATCTCCCCCGAAGTCCGTCAACTAAGATCTCCTCCGGTGATGTGCCGTTGTGTTTCATCATTTGACAATGCTGTGTATGTACGGCTACATGCCACCGTCGTTGTACCCTCGGTTTTATTTTCTATTCTGAATAAAGAATGTGAATTCCAGTTACATGGAGCAATAAATGTTTTGTGTTTACATGCGAGAGTTCACCGGGATGATTTCTTTAGACATTTCAGACATAACACATCCATGCAATACATGGTGTGTTTGTTTTTTGTAATACCTAAGTTCATCGATTTGGCCCGATTACATCTATCAGAAGACGGTACAATCCATGTGAATGCCCGTCTCTAAACGAAGACTCGAACCTAGATTGAAAAATAATTTTATTCCTTTTCTTACCGATCGAGTCACACTGCATTGGTGGATTCTTTATATAAAACGTAAAAAGTTTGATTTATTTTGTGAATTATAAAAAATGCGAGAGACGTGTCAATGCATCCAAAATATGAGTATGAATTAACATATATATATATATATTATATATACATGAATTATGATGGTCTGAATCTAATATATATATACCCAGTGCCTTTATTCAACATACATATAGAATAAACAATGGATAATTTATCAATATCAACATGCAGGCCATTTCAAACATTTTGAAGTTGGTTTAGTAGCAAATCCCACATAATTAAATTCAGATTGCGTTAAAAAAAACAAAAAAAAAAGTTAACTGCTAATCAAATTTATAACCATTTTAATTATAATCAATTTTAAAAAAGCAATTATACTTTTTTTTTATAAAATTGTGAGGTCCGAAATTTGGGACTGTGCAAAAGTACCAAGACCACTCTTATTGCAACAATATCTTAATAATAATACAAGTAATAAGTGAAATTATAATAATTTGTCAATATTGTAAGTACAGGATATACATATTCTCAACACCCAGATTTTTTCCTATAAATATACAGAAAAAAAAAATATTCAATGCAATTTTCAAATACAGGGGACTAAAGATCGCAGATATGTTGTAAACGGTAGAAAACGTCACACTTCATGATACGTTGCCATTTGTTCTCCAATATCTACGGAAAAAAATTAGAGAACATTGCATAAATAATTCAAGAACACATGGAAAAATAAGCCAAAGATGAAATGTACACGATTATTTACCTTTTTTTTTTTTTAATAATCCAAGCTCTTCCAAAATGGAGATTCGAATTTGAGTTTGGAAAAGAACAATTTATTCGTCCTTATCCGATGAACCACTCAATCTTTGTCTTGTTACCCATCTTTCAAAATTTGTCTCTATCCTCTCATATATATATTACCAAAAAAAAAAAAAAAAGAGGGGGAGAGAGCAGTCACTTCACTTGCTCCATAAAAGGGGACTTGTCTTTGCTTACGAGAAGAACATCCCAACAAAAAAAAAAAACACCATGAAGATCTCTGCAACTGCAATATCAGTCGCTCTGATTCTCCTTGTCGCTTCCTCCGGCTTCGTCAGCCCGAGACCGGTCGGAGTACCGTCGGATCCAGCCACGGATCCTCCCCCATATCCTAAGAAAGGCGTACGTCCGCCGACATTCCCGACCGAACCGTTTCCTCCTCCGCCAAACCGGTATCCCACCGCCTGTGTACTATTACCGGGTAAACCACCAGATGAACGGGATTGCCAAATTCCTCCGCATCTGGTGAATTAAGATCTCCTCGGATGATGCCGCCTGCTTTGGTCCATCTGATCTTATAAGCTCTGTGTTTCATATGACGATGCTACGTACGGTCATATGTACTTTCGGCTTTTTATTTTCCATCCTATTATAAATAAAACAATGGGAATCCCAGTCATATGAAGCTGTGAAATCTTTAGTGTTTGACATAACACACATCCATGGCATGCAATGCACCGGCCACGTTAGAATTTTGACATTTTTCTAAAGAAAATATATGAAACATACAAGTTTTTCATTTATTTCGGAATTTATAAAAATGTGAGAGACGTGCCAATTCATCCAAATTCGAGTATAGACTAACCAAAACATATATATATAATATACCAATGTATTATTTATCACATATCAATATCCAGGTCATTTCAACCATTTTCAAGTCGGTTTCGAAGGAAATACCACATAATTAAGTTTCCTTTTATTTTAAAAAATATTGATTTTTCACTTCTCACCATTCAATTTCAACGCAAATTAAATAAAGTTATAATTCATATTTAAAAATTATGTTATAATACAAAATCGATTTAAGTTTCAAAGTTAATAAAGTTTGTTTCTTTTCAAAGTTAAAATCTTATCATTTTCTTATGTATTATAGTAATCAAGGTTGAGGACTTTCCCCAATTTAAAATTATGCTGTGCCTCTCTTTAAATTAATGTAATTAATAGCTTTATTTTCTATAAGTTCCATATGGGCCCTAATAAGCCCATAGGAATTGAGATAATGGGCTTTCCAAATTACATAAAGGAATCACCGCAAGTGTCTTCCCGAATCGGATCTCTCTCGAGGAGGAGAAGAACGAATACGGACGCAGCAAAATCGGTGATCGGAGAAAATGGCGAAACCGTTGGGGCCCACCGGGGAGTTTTTCCGGCGAAGGGATGAGTGGAGGAAGCATCCGATGCTCTCTAACCAGATGAGGCATGCCCTTCCGGGGCTCGGCCTCGGCATCGCCGCCTTCTGCGTCTTCCTTGTCGGCGAGCAGATCTACAGCCAGATTTCGTCGCCTACTCTGTCATCCCATCACCACCAAAAACAGCACGCGTAGAAGAATTCTTTCTTCTTCGACCAGGTAATTGGTTGCCGATAATCTTTGTGGAAAATTTTGTGGCTTCTCGTGTTATTCGTTTGTTTGGAATACATATGAAGGGTTTTTAGGGACCTTTTTCGAATTTATTTGATTCAATTCGTCTATATTCTGGTGGATTCTGAATCTGGTGAACATTTTGACTAATTCAAATTTCAAGCTGAAAAAGGCCTTTTATAAATCGCGTGGTGGAATTGAATTTCTGTGATTCTATTTCATGTGAGACAGTAGTGATGAACCTCGTGGGTGTAACCATATATTGGCTGTATAATCATGGGCTTTCTGTCATACATATAAAAAAAAGATTTTTTTTTATGCTTACCGTTGATGGATACTGGAAGGATCTTTTCACCGTTCAAACATGTGAAGTTTGTAGATAATGTTGTAAAATGTTACTTCAGTGTAGGTAATGATGAACGGACATGTGAATATATGAGGTTCATTACAGATATTGCTCAAGTTTTGTACCCTTTACAATGTTAGTTCTGGTTAAGATTATAGGCAATTTTGTCTTGTCTTGATCGAAAACTTCCTTTGCATCAGTTGGTTCCTACATGATCCTGTCTCGCTTGACTAAGCAAAGTGGAACAGTCACTTGAAGGAAGTATTGTTTAGATCAAGTTACAGAATGTTGCTTGATTTCAATGCTTTTACCTGTTTGCAAACCCAGAAGTTTGTAAAGTTAGTTCCAGGTATACTAGCTTTACCGGTATGCGGGTATTTTGGTAACGTATCGGATTTTAGATTGATTGTGAATACTGGGACAAGTTCAGTACCTCTTTTCCAGCCAAGTAAATCTGTTCTTTACAATGGCTGATCGGTGGAAAGATCATTGCTGAAGAATAACTTTACCAGTATCTTCATTGTTGCCTTGTTTGTCCTTTGTTCTGAGCTTCAAGTTGATGATATGAGTGTGATTCTGAAGGGAAGGGAATGAAGTTGGTCTTGGTGGCAGATGAATGCATTTATGGGCAGAAGATAAAGGTGACTGGTGAGAGCTTCTCAGTTCCAAACTTCTTGGATTCATCGGAATAAAAGTTGATGATTGGATACAGAGATTTGGATTTTCTGCCAAAAAGTTTAAAACTTGTGTGGCAATTTTTAGTGTTTTTAATCTGCCTTTCCTTGTCCTTGTAAGATTACTCCGTGGTTAAGTTGTCTTTCCCAATAAGGTCCTTTCTCCTGTCCAGAGATTCTACAAAGACTAGAGAATTAGAGATGACGATTCCGGTTATCTTAATTGAAACCGACACGGTTTAAACATAATAATATCTTATTCGATATTAAAATCGAGTGGTTATAAATAAATATTCGAATATGGGATTGAATATACAAATAGTAATAAAGAATTTAATAAAAATAATAATGATTAATTGAATCGGTTAAAAATTCTTTTGGAAAGAGGTATTTTTATGGATAAAGGGTTAAATATAAATTGAATTTGAACAAAAATCGAACGGAATGGAATTTAGGTTATAGTTTTTTTTTAAAATTTAAAATAATCAAGATGAATTCGAACGGAAATGCGAAATAGTCAGGTTCAGGTACACTCCAGTAATGACGGTTATGGCCCAATTACGGCCCATAGTGTAGTCCAGTTTCACTGTGGGCCGTGATAAATTTTTATTTTTACTGTTTCCAAATATAAATCTACAAAATTGTAAAAAAGAAGTTGACAGGCGAAGCATAATAATATTTACGTAATTTGCCTTAAAAAACGTAGTCTTGTCATTTTACTGTTAAGATTTTTTTCAATTTATTCGAAATATGGACTGAATGATGCATCATTGCCGTATATTCAGAATAATAATATATAAATATATGTTTTGTCTTGTAGTTTATGGAAGTGTATAATAATATAAAGGTACGGATTGTATTTTCTTACACGCTACGTCCATTCCTCTGCCATATTATAATTGTACCTTCAGAATACAAATATAAATATCTACAGAAATAAAGGTAAAAAAACATATATGAGGAAATTTCTTAGATCAGTCAAATTGATTTGCGCGTAAAAACCATTATAGAATATGAAGAAAAAAAAACTTACAAAAAAGTGTCTCGATGTTCGGGAAAATAATTTAAATAAAATAGTCGCCCTTAGTTTTTAAATTTTATTTCATCGGACATTATATAAAATGAAAATAAAGGCAACAAGGAGATGTATGAATTGGATCGGAGTTGTTGTTGTTACAACATAAACGAATAGTTAAAGATAAACGAAAATATCTCTTTGTGTTTTATTTATCTATTTCCAAGTTCCAATGTATTTTATTAAACGGTTCAATTTTGCCATTAATTTTGTTAGAACATTAATGGGTCTTTTTTGTTTTTTTAAATATTTCATGGGATCACTCAAAGGCAAGCTTTTGCTTTTTTTAATTTGCGGGGGGCAGCTTCTATTGCACATTTGTCTCTTTTGTTTTGTTTCTTCATCTAGTAACTATAATCATTTGCCTTCCATATATTTAATAAATAATTAGATGCACATACCATTCAAATGTATATTATCTATACACACAAATGTGTATATATATATATATCATATCCCCACCACATACATTTTTATATAGCATACAGTTAAAAACTTGATTTCTAGATTTATATATGTTGTAGAAACTAAAATTAAATGTTTTTTTTTTCGTTGTCTAATTCATTAACTAATGAGCCACAGTCAATACATGTTTTGAATAGTTTAATATTTACGTGTATTTTTTTTCTTAAGCTCGCATTTTGTTTTTAATAACGAATTATAATATTTTATCTAAAAACTGAATGGAGTCCAAAATACAAATGAAATTTAATTAGAGAAAAAAACTCATCCAAGCAATCTAAGGTTATAATGTTATGAATGCGAAATAAATTTATTTTGGTAAATAAAAATTATTTGAAGTGAATATATGAGGATAATAGTTTTCAGTCAACTTGTCGGTGATGGAGATGAGAATATTAAGAAGATAAAACAAAATGTCTTTAGTTTTAGATAACATAGCAAAAATATTCCCCACTACACTTGCATGTGCGTGTGTGTGTATATATATATATACTTATCTCATCATGAAATATTTTTTTCCGTTTTTATTCTCCTTTTTAATAAAAAAAAATAGATTTCTATATAGTTAAAGCAAATTAATGGGCTTATGAGCTGTTCCATGGTCCTGGATTCTCATATATGTGTATATATATATATATATGTTCGCGTGTATATTATTACATATCTCTATCGATATGAATATGCGATTACTACAAGAAAATCATGTGTTACAGATTTTATCGTTGGAGTTATATAGCAAGATTGACCATTTTTTCAATATATAATTAGAAAAACAACCTATGTACGTGATTTTTTTGGGATAAAAAACCTCAATATCACAACCAAAGAATATCTAAAAAGTAATATAAACAATCAATAAAGCATGCATCTCTCGGGGAAAAATCAGAATACTAAATTTTTATTTAAAAAAAGAAAGATGAGAATGAGGAGATTCAAAGCAAGGTTCTCTAGCATTTTAAGATAACTTTTTTCTTCTTCTAATGTATGTTTTTATCAAAATACATTACCGATCATGAAGTCGGAGGTGCTCGTGGGGCATGCAGCAGACGACCATGGCCAACAAAACCCTAGCTAGTGTCATTTATATAGTTTTAAAGATGTGCTTACACGCTACACACACACGCCTTAGGGTTCTTTGAACTCTTTGTGATCCTATTGTTAAATCTTCAGTGGCTTTCCGTGTTTATAATAATCACATTATAATTAATTGTCGGAGACTTCAAAAAATCAATTTAGTTTCAGTACAATTTAATTATTATTATTATTGTAATTATTATTGGGGTGGGGTGGTGGGGGCATTTGAATCTCATGCCAAAAGGGGATTTTAATAAAGAAGAAAGAGGGCGTTGGAGTTGGTGCCTTCGGACACATTTCTAAGGCTGACCGCGAATGTTCCCAACGGCTCTCCCCTTTCCTCTTCTCCCTTCCGTTTTATTTGTCCACGTCATCTTTTTTTTCTAAATAAAAATCTAGATGTATTTTTACAAAATTAAAAAAAAAAGTTTCAAACTTACAGAGAATATAATAAGAAACAAACTGAAATGAAAATATTTAATCGTACTTTCTGACGTGATTTATATTTTTTAAAAAATATTTTTATTGTATGGTGGATTCATATATATATAATTGTCGTCTCATATATAATGGGATCGTCGATCCAATTCATACAACTTATCTTCATAACTGATTACATAACGTAGTGTTTTAAATGCACAAAGTTCAAAATATTAAATATTCGATTACTCATGAGAACGAGTTAAATTGGGAATGGTGTGTGGGGAAAGCAAGAGCACGTGAAACTAATGTGAAACCCTGAAAATGTTTTCTATCAAAGAAGAAATGGGATGATGGGTCTTACCTAAAACCACATAGCAGAAGAAAAAAAAACGCATTATATATAATAATTATGCATATTATTATAATTCATTAATTTTATGCAAAAAGAGTGCTTTTTCAATATCATGGCATTTATATATAAACATGTGCGGTTTGTGGTTGTGTCTGTTGGTACAAAGCACTGCTAACTTATGTCTGCCTATAAAGATGATGGTTGAGGATTTGTCTGATTTTGGGGATAAAATGTTACATATATAGTCGTTTAAAATCCATAACCATTTTGGATATCAGATTAATCATGCGGATAGCTTTTAATTTAGACTATTAATTTGGGTTTAAAATGTTGCACATTTGGTTTAATTATATATATATTCAATTAATTAAACGGAAACGAATTATTGGACCTGCATGTTACGAAAAGCCCTTCTCCAAGATTAATGAATATACACACGCACATGAAGAAAAAAACACGAAAAGGGGTAAGAATATGAGTGCAAATTTAGCAAGAATCATATCTATATGCATTCGGGCGTATGATCTTGTGACGAAAAAAAAAAGATATATCAATTGCACGATATATTATCTATGTTATAAAAATAATGTCATATATTACATAATATTATAATTGCTTGTAAAAACAGTTTCGTAAACGTAGTTTAAATTTGGTAACCCACTAGCAACGATTAGCTAGTTCTTGGACCGTAATCCATTATTAGAAGCGTTCAAGATCGAAAATGATTTGCTAATATGTTGACCTAAAGCGTACAAAACAATGTCATAATTCTTGGTAAATAAATCTAACCATCATTATTATAAGAGATAATAATGGTCACGAGCTTTCTGATTTAGGAAAAGACAATTGCAAATGATGTTACCATAATTAATTTCCTCCTAACCAAATCTAAAATGGATTAATTATTTCAACGTTGGCGCCAAAAAGTGATACATTGTCACTTCGTCTGCATGCGTAATCTTGATTTGATGATAATAGGGAATGATTAGAATCTTAAGATAGTGAACATCTAAAGTATAAAACTATGCGCAAGCTTGGTGACAAGATTGCTGTTAGGAAGTTGGTATAATAAAAGGATATATTTTTACGAGCGACAAATAATTTATTTATTATTATATCATTTACTTCTTTTTAAAACACAAAAGCTTTTACTTGATTATATATAAATAAATGGAAGTTGAATAAAAAAAATACAAAATAATTCAATTGACTGATTTCGCACGCTTGGCGCCAGGAGAATATATATATATATATATAGTATGTTATGTCATTTCAGTGTATTTTATGCAAAAGATTTTGTATTTGTCACTGATCAAGCTAGGATATTGCTCTATCTACATGATTATTACTCTAAATTCGAATATGGATTCGATAGAAAACCCCAAAAACATGTCATATAAACAAAGTTATGAATTTCAAATATAACTTAAAAAAATAATAAATTATTGATCATTCATCACTGATGTTAAAAATTTCTATATGAAATTTCATTTCGATTTCTTCAACTATTTAATTAATTTAATTTAATTCTCGTCATTAGTCTTTTGTAAAAAAAAAAACTTCCTTTTACGGAATAAAATTTCCTCTTCCCAATCCCAAAAAATAAAAATACTGTAAGAATTTTGTGGTGTTTTTCATCTCCTAACAACAGTAAATAGCAGCCTTTTTTATAAAAAATAAAATCACAATTTTTTAAAAAGAAAATTCAGAAGGGTAACCAGTGATTACAAAGGACACGAACATCTAGAAAATTGTGATGAATTTTGGACCATCAACCTAACGTCATTTATTCTCGTGGACCCTTTAGTTTCATTTACCTTGAATATATTTTATATATTTTAAAATTTTAAATATTGTCTCAAGTTTTTTTCGGCTCAGTTTACATATCGTAATACATAATCTCCGAGTCTTCAAGAATCCTGTAAATGATTTATATATGTATATTATTTCATAAAATAAAAAATAAAAAAAATATTTGATGGACGTTTGATAGAATTTTCTGAAGAATTGGTGAGATTTTTTATTACCAAATTAAAAAAGGAAAATAAAGGAGAGAAAAAAGCTGGCAAATTGGAAAGAATTACCATAAGAAGAGACAACAGAATAGAAACAAGGAAATAAATAAATAAATAAAAAGGGGTAAGTACTGTAGAATAAAGCCCACCGGGATAATAAAAGAATAAAGCGAAAACATATACTTTTTAGATTTTATTTCGTGACTATGGACCGTAATTTCAATAACATTCTAGAAATATAAAGTTATGTTATACATTACTGGTTTATTTCCTCCTTTTTTTGTCCAGAAATAATTTTATAAAAAAATGCATAAAAAACATTTCTTTGAAAGAAAGAATAAATTGTTTTTAATTTTGTAACATTATTATAAAATACTGTTTTCCAAGCCTTCCAAGAAGAAACATGATTAGCATTACTCTCAGTGGTAAGACTGAAATGTTAAGCAAGATACTCCATTTACCACAGCTTCCTATTCTTAGCCAAATGAAATAATTATGTTTTTACTTTTACCCTTTGACCATCCTCCTTTAAATGACAAAATTGCCCTTACAGGTTCTTGTATAGATCCCACCCAGTGATCATCAAAACTAGCGAGGGTATATTTAGGGCTTCTTAAAAATATAATTTGTCAAATTAAGAGTAACTACAGTAATCGAAATTTAGTAGGACCGTATTATAATTATAGCTTATATTCGTAAAATAATATAATATTTATGCATACCATGACAACCATATGATAGTATTTAATGTTCGAGGGTTTTCTCTCTGTGATTTTGCCTTGAAGCAGCTAATTAATGTAGTTAGTATTTTGTTTTATTTTTTACTGTATATCTGAATGTTTTCTCCCATGCAAAATATGAAAATATTTTACGTATCAATATGCACACCTTTTTTTTTTTTTTGCTGAGGCCATCATGACATGAATATTGTAATAGTCATTTAGTTTCTTCTAAAATATTTATATCCCATTTTTCTTCGAACTTCAATGACCAATCTTTTACATTGCGGCTAAAATTTTGAATAAAATTTATATATTTTTATACATTCTGATTTCAATTTCTATAATATAATATATAAAATTTGTTGCAATCTATAAGGTAGAAAAAAAAATTGTTTTGAATATTATTACCTTCTGTTCGTCACCCTGCCTCAGTACTCTTCCCACTACTCTGACACATCTCTCTTTCTCTCTCTATACAAGTGAAAATGGAGTAAAATTGATGGCTGATAGTGCAAGCAAAGCAATCACTCAGCCCTTTTTCTTCTTCTTTCTTCCCCTAATGCTTCATATGACTCGTATTCTTTTGTTGAATATGATATGTTTTGTTATGTATTTTCTTTTGGATGAAGGGCTAATGTAATGTCTTGTAATATATACGTGCAACACATAATTATCTTAATTAGTATTTTATGTTTGACAAATGCCCTGTATATAAACTGAAATGTCAGTATATATATATACAATCAATATAATACTGTTGAGTAAATGCTTTGATAAGGAGACAATGGGTTCTCATGTCTGCCCATATTCTAAAGAAGTTTAAATTTTTGTGTATAATGAAATAGGTAAGCTAATGATTATAAGTGGATTTTGAGCACTAGTGCACTGATATTTAAATACTGTTTCTCTTTGTCCGCAGAGGAAAAAAAAGAGAATCTGCCTTTGTAGGACTCTCTCTCTCTTGCCTTTTGCTTCACACACTACTAATACTCTAAGCCCTTGGTTTAGGCGGTGCCTTCACTTGCAAAACCCACCCCCAACTCTCTCTCTCGTCTTCTTTCATTTGGTTAAGCCCAAGTTGTTAAAGCCTCTTCCGCTCTCCCAAAACCCTGTGATTTCAGATGATACAGTAGAAAACTGGTGTTGGTTGGAGAGATTTACTGGTTCTGGCTTATGTAGAAGCCATACCCAAGGAAAGTGTTGGTCTTTGAAAGTAATTTAAGAGAGAGTTTGCTGCTTTTCGTCGCCAAGGTATGCTCTTCACTTCTAATCCTGAAACCTCTCTCTCTCTCTCTCTCTCCCTGTACAGTCTGATCAGTTTCTCGTCAGATTTCCATGGAATATGAGATGGGTATTCGACTAAGAGTTGGTTCTTGACGACCCATTTCTTGGTTTGTCTCGTTGATCATCATCATCATTCTCTCACTTGAACTGAAACAGTAGAGACTTCTTTTGAAGTGGGTATGTCAGCTTTTGCTGGAACAAGTTTGCAAGGAGGGTTTTGCTTTTGGTATTATTCTCTTTGTTCTCTTCTTTTGGGCTTTTCGAATTTAGGGTTTTTCCTTGGGTGAACAACAGAAATTATTTAAATGGGTTTCTTGAGTCGCTTCTAAATAAACCTCCCGAGGTTTTAATCAAGAAAGCAACAACCTTAGATCTGTTGTCTTTAATTGTCTTTTACACTCTCTCCTGTTGTCTTGTTTTGTTCTCTTCTTGATTAGTCTCTTTCGGTCTCCAAACCAAGAAACACTTGGAGAAACAAAACAAAAAAAATCCTAAGAAGAAATTGAATCTGAGGAATTTGCAATTTTGCAGAAAACCCAAGAATGGAAATTTCAAGCCAAGAAGATCATGAAATGCCCATCCCAATAAACAGCACATATGGTGGTGGGCACGGCCACATGATCCATCATCACCACCATGACCATGCTGCTCCTCCAACTCACAACCCACAAATCCCGTCCAATGGTAACAACGGGCATGGCAATTACGAGCATCATCATCGTGATCAGGAGGACAACCCTCACAACCATCATCATCATCAACAACAACATGTTGGGGGCTACAACATCATCAGCAGCAAGAAGCAACAAGGAGTGAAGTACAAGGAGTGTCTGAAAAACCATGCAGCCGCCATGGGAGGCAATGCGACAGATGGGTGTGGAGAGTTCATGCCAAGTGGTGAAGAAGGCTCCATTGAAGCTCTCACTTGCTCCGCCTGCAACTGCCATAGAAACTTCCACAGGAAAGAGGTTGAAGGAGAAGCAATCCCATTTCCCGCTCACTACCACCACCACCACCTCCAGCAGCCATCGCAACCTCGGAAGCTCATGCTCACTCACCACAAGATCAGGTCAGCAGTACCACATCAGATGATCATGCCGTACATGTCGACGTACATGCCGCCAAACTCAGAGTCTGATGACCAGATGGAGGAAGACGGCGGCGGAGTTTTTCCGGCGAGGCCAGCTCCGCCGTACAACAACCAGAAGAAGAGATTCAGGACAAAATTCACTCAAGAACAGAAGGAGAAGATGCTGAATTTCGCGGAGAGAGTTGGCTGGAAGATTCAGAGGCAAGAGGAGTCTGTCGTTCAGCAGTTCTGCCAGGAGGTTGGCGTCAAGAGAAGAGTCCTCAAGGTTTGGATGCATAACAACAAGCACAATCTTGCCAAGAAGAACAGCTCCGACAATAACGACAACATCGTCAACAATCTCAACCTGTCCGGTGGTAGTAACGACAATAACCCCACCGGAAATCTTGCTTCAAATGCTTGATCAGATCATGACGTCATTAAGCACCTTAATCATTGTTAGTTAGCTTTTAATCAAGAAGGTGTCTAGGGTTTTTAATTACGCCTTAGTTTGTTTGTTTGTATACGTGGTTATGCTATCTATAAACCCCTTTCGGCGATCTGATCAATGCCTTGGGATTTTCAGTGTTGTTAATTTCTGTGATCCTCTTTTTTTTTTTTTGCTGTCTTGTAATTTTCAATCTAATGATAAAAAGTGGGTTTTTTTTTGAAGTGATATAAAATTAACTTATTGTAATAAATGAATCACTTCTTTTGGTATGTAAGAAAAGTTACTTTGGAATGCCATTTTAAAATCATTAGACTTTGCACTTCCATGATCATTGTGTTGCAGAATTTGCATGGAAGAAAAAGTCTTTTTGAAGCTACTCATTTCTCGCCAAACCAAATACAATAAATACAACGCCAACAACTTTATCAAATTTTGTGACCGCCCACAATATATATATTTCGCTAACCAAAATTTATATATATATATATATGACGTCCCTTGAAATTTAGTGGACGCATATTCATTTGTAGAAAACTTTCACAGCGACAATGCAGAATGAGCAAGAAACAGAGATACGAAGCTGTTCAAATACCACGAAATTGAATGTTCCAGGTCTCATGATTGGAACCGGTCGGACTCCAGTTTGGATTGGCCGATGTCGAGTTCTCGGGTTCGGGTAGGAAAACTCGCCGGAGATTCTCGCCGTCAGGAGATAGAATTCTCGGCTACAGAGGCGGAAGACGGGAGGAACGGCGGAGATGCGATAAAAGCGGTGAAGTGATTTATTTTTCAGGGGGAGTTAATGTAACTTGCGATTCACAAGTCACATCCTATAATGTGTGACGACGCATAAGGTTGAGTAAATACTTGGTTGGTGTTACAAGTGAACTCATTTATTAACCTCTTCTTCTCCGTCTTATTGGACGTGTTTGTGTTTTTTTTATTGGTATTTTATGATATATTTTTGTCTTGTCATGATTTGTCCAATGTGATATCGGATAAGATTATTATTATTATTATTATTATTATCGGTTTGATCGCATAGCTTACTAATGCGTACCATACAGAATTTAAGATGTTTGTTTTATGACCTTCACGTGTTTCATCCATTATGTAGATTTTACATTATAATTTTCATGCATCGATCTCATGTGTTTATAATTATTGCATTCATCAACCTCCCTCCACCACATTCCTTTTGTTTTTTTTTTCTCGTCTTTCGTGGGGATTTTTGGGTTTTCTCTAAAATTTTCCTGTGCTTGTAGGGTCCCCTAAGCTTAATTAGCAGTACTTAGCCGTAATTAGACAATTTCCGGTGTATACAACCATATGAATTTCATGACTTTTTTTTTTCTCTATAAAACATCACCCATGAAAAAAAAATAAAAATAAAAAATCTTAAATAGAGAGAGTGATTTTCGCCAGCTACTGTTCTGATGTTCCTTACAAGGGTTGTTGATTTGGAGTGATTAAGGAGGGGGACCTTTCCCCGATTTCGCAAATCCCACAAACTCCTTCCTCACACGAGCAATCTCTCACGTGACAGTCCGATTTAAAAAAAAAATTCCCTGTATCATCGATCCAAAGATGTCATGAAAAACCATATAATAACAAGTATTAGTTACTTGTTAGCACATAAAATGACTATCCATTGCACGTTTGACGAGGAGAACGGAGAGAAATCTTCGCTGATTGGTATAATGTAGGGATCGACATAAATGTTGCATTAAATAGGATAATAAATTAGGAAATGTGATATTCAGAGCCAATATTTAATATGTTTTTTTTTTCCTTCGTAAGGTCCCTCATGTTCCTACTCTACGTCTGTGTTCAGGATCGAAGTCGGATTCCTGAGAAAATAAATGCGTATGATTTAACGTTGCATACGATGTAAAATGCATGCTTGAATCCCACAAGAGGTTTAATGAACGAATGAAACAGAAAAGCATTCAAGTCTATATATAAAGCCGAGATATGCCTAAGAGAATCAGAAAAAGAGTTACCTGAATCCAAAACTACGGCGGTTCAAGTTCGGAGTTCCGTTGCTGTGAAAATCGGGTGGACATAAGGATCGTCAAGCATTTTGCTTCATTGCTGGACTCTCGTTCTGAACGTAAACCACGTGAAAAATCGGTAAGGATCATGATGGCATCGACGATCGGTACAATGGCGGATATGCTGAATGGATACCCATGCATTGATGAATGAAACGGAACTGATGAAAACCGGGTTCCATGCCTCAAAATGGCAGTGCTTCTAACTACTAAGCTAACACTGGACAAGAAGGAATGACACTGCAGATGCTAGCCTAGACAGATAGACAAGAATGCGATCGTGTGGATGAGAACAAACACGACACAATCTCCTGTATAAACAAGGCGGTTAATGTTCAATACTTTTCACAGAGAGCACAAGAAAATCGGTGAAATGGGGATTAATTAGTTTTTTTCTAGATAGATTCAACAAGCTAGTTGGATTGAACTTTGGATTTGGAAGAACAGAAATACATATGTTCTCAATGTCTGCAAGATGACAAATATGTTGTGGTGGTGTATGTATGCGAATCTGCTACACCTACAATGGTTGTCCTACAGGGTTTGCCAGAGAAAAACAAGAATCTAAGGAAACTGGAGATGCAGGGTTTGGTTTCTGTGGATGTTGCCCTAAGCTTCTGAAGAATTTCATCAACTTCCCAATCTAACATGTTTTATTCCAATGCTCTTTCAATCTTATAGATGTCAGAAAACATGAAAGAACACGGTTCCTGGTCACCAAATTACATGCCCCATCACTGTTCTAAGATCGAGATGCAGATTCCAAAATCTGGGTATAGTTTGCAACAGTGCCGAATAGAATTCCAGCAAAATGTAAACCTAATCCACGATCTCATAAAAAAAATTGGCGCACGAGCCGAAATCGATGCCAATGAAAACTTTCACAGCGACAATGCAGAATGAGCAAGAAACAGAGATACGAAGCTGTTCAAATACCACGAAATTGAATGTTCCAGGTCTCATGATTGGAACCGGTCGGACTCCAGTTTGGATTGGCCGATGTCGAGTTCTCGGGTTCGGGTAGGAAAACTCGCCGGAGATTCTCGCCGTCAGGAGATAGAATTCTCGGCTACAGAGGCGGAAGACGGGAGGAACGGCGGAGATGCGATAAAAGCGGTGAAGTGATTTATTTTTCAGTAAATCACGTGTTAATCAAGTGTTTACCGTACTTAATCACGATTAATAAGGTGAAAGATCAAAATAAAACATTTTTTAGCCACGGCTAACCATTTTTAACCATTTTGTTCACTTTATAAAATTTTAAATTTTGCCTATATAATATAAAACACAAAATATTAATCGAGGGTTTTGTAGATTTGTATGGAAGGCTATGAATCACGGGGAAAAATGATAAACGAAACAATAAAAGGAAATGATTAATGAAAGTTTAAATATATTTATAAATTCGCATGCTTTTGTTAATTATCAGGTGTAGTGAAGCGGCATCATATAAACAAGAATCTAGAAAGGGGCAAAATCAAAATCAAAGCAGTGAAGAGAGCAGACACAGACAGTTTCGTCGTATAGTCCATACCTTCGGGTTTCGTCTTCGCAATTTCACCTCCGATCGGACCCTCCACCGCTTCTCTCGCCCGATCCCGGCGTTCTCTTCAGTCGTTTTTCTTGTCGGAAGGTTAGGGTTTTCTTCCCACCTTTTCTCATTTCTCGGCAAGATTGAAGTTCTTGGCGTAGTCTTAGGGTTTTGGCGACACGGCGTTTTGATTCCTCGATTCGGTTGTCGTCTCCTTGATCTGCGGTCGTCAATTGCGTCCGATTAGGGCATTTAGTTTCAGCTGGGTTCTGTGGAAGTCTTTTGTTCGGATTTCCTTTTCGTTCTGAATTTTGGAGCGGGCATGCTCGATTCTGGATTTGTAGACGACCGGATGTACGACATTGTTCAGGTTATTTGATTACCGATGTGGTGTCAACATTTAGGGTCTGGTTCAATTTGATTGTAGATATTTGCTTATTTGCCAGAAAATTTTTCCTCTGGTCTGGTTGTCATGTCGCTTTTGCATTTGTTATTCTACTTGTTGCTCATAGAACTGATTTTATGTGACTATAATTTCCTTGCTTTGTATCTTCTAAAGTATGTGGATTGTTGTCTCTGTGGCAGCTGTAAAGGACGGGCTGAATACTGATATAAAGCCAGCCAAGATGGCGAACTTACACATGACTGGAATTCTTGAAAAGGTTCTCTATCGTCAACAAGAATAAGATCAGCAACTCTTGCCATACATTTACCTTTTTAAAATTTATTTTATATTTCGGTTTGTGGGCAGATGACGGGTAAGGATAAAGATTACAGGTATATGGCAACCTCTGATTTACTGAATGAGTTGAATAAGGAATCCTTCAAACTAGACCCTGAAATGGAGATGAAGTTGTCAAGTGTCATACTGCAGCAGCTTGATGATGCGGCTGGTGATGTTTCTGGATTGGCTGTCAAATGGTTGGTGTTCTTCTCTTTGCAACCTATGGAAGTTGTTGGTCTCCTTTGTTACCCAGTGTACATTTATTGTATCATCAGTGTTCAAAATTTCAAATGGTCTTCTTGTGTCTCACATAGAAAACCTCAACTTCTAACTTTGACTGTGTCTTGGTATATTTATCATGCTGTTTTGGTCTTATTGGTTATCTCAAACCACTGTTGTATGATTTTGTCGCAGCCTTGCTCCATTGGTGAAGAAGGTTGGTGAACCACGTGTGGTGGATATGACAAATAAGTTGTGTGATAAGCTACTGCATGGGAAAGACCAGCATCGTGATATTGCTGGCATAGCCCTCAGGACAATTGTAGCTCAGGCAGTTCCTTCACATGCACAATCTGTACTTGTTTCCCTAACCCCCCAGTTGATAAAAGGGATAGCTGGCCAGGTTAGTGTTTGTGAGGCCCTTTTGTTTTCGCTGGATGCATTTCTACATAATACCTCTGGCTCAGAATTTGTCTTGGATTTCATCAAACTTGGAAGCAAATGACTTAAACAGCCTAAGTATCAGGATGATTCATGTTTATTGGAAAATGAGTCGCTTATGTGCTGCTATTGAAGTTTTTCAGAAACTATTGCAAGTTAATAGCTGTCACTGAAAAAACTCACAGTACTCAAGAGCACAAGATGCGCATAAACATTTGCCAACGCTTTGGAACATCAGAGGTTTCTCAATTATTGTTTTGCAAGATACTAATTTTGTGCTGGCTTGCTGCTGAAGGGAATGAGCACAGGGGTCAAATGTGAATGTCTTGAGATCATGTGTGATGTGGTTCAGAAATATGGAAATTTAATGGCAAGCGACCATGAAGCACTTTTGAATGCTCTGTTATTGCAATTGGGTTGCAACCAAGCCACTGTCAGGAAGAAGACTGTTACCTGCATTGGTGAGTTCAAGTAACTTGAGTCTGTATGCTCGGCTTGGTCTTGATGGAGTCTAGAATTCTGTTGAAAAATCTGCGAACTTCAAAACAAGACTTTTGGTGTAATGGGATTGCTGTCAGCTGCTTTCCCTAATCTGGTAGTAGCTTCAGGAGTATAGGTCTACGGTTTTTGGTGTAATGAGATTACTGTGGTGTGCATCCTGGGAGCAAACAGTGTACTAAGTAGCAGATGTGTCTAGTTGGATGGCTGTTTGACAATCTTAGATAGTGATTTGGTAATAGCTTTGTCTTTCAATTCTTGGAATATGGTACTCAAATCCATAGGAAGGTTGTCACTCTGGAGTCAAAATGAAGATTTAATATGCATACACACGGAAATTAATTTTTATTGTTTGTGTTTCAGCATCCCTTGCCTCAAGTTTTTCTGATGATTTACTTGCCAAAGCAACTCATGAAGTTGTGCGGAACTTGCGAAATAAGAACATGAAATCTGAGATGACCCGTACCAATATTCAAATGATTGGGGCTTTAAGGTACTTATCGCTTTTTTCTTTTTGTTGACGGTACTTCTTGTTAGCGTTCTACTATGTATTTGGCATATTTGCTGAAGTGCTGAACTTTTTACTGTTAATTTGCACTTTGTAAACCTTTTTCTAAACCATCTTTTGTGATATAATTTGAATGCATTAGTTAAACACGGATTTATGAGCATGCTTAGCAATCTATAGTTTTCATGCAAATGTAGCATTTCCTTGTACATGTGAGTTAGGCTTGCCATGGACGTAATGCTCTTTTATATTTCTTTGTTTTAGTCGTGCTGTTGGGTACCGGTTTGGAACCCATCTTGGTGATACTGTTCCGGTCTTGATCAATTACTGCACTAGCGCTTCAGAGAATGATGAAGAGCTTCGCGAGTATAGCTTACAGGTTTTGTGCATGATTCCCTCTATACTTCTACTCTCGGATATGGCAAATTGAGGTTTTTGTTTCCCATTTGGTTCTTGTTGGACTGACATCTAGGCTGGCACAATAATTGTATCTCTCCTCTTTTCCTTCTCTTTATGCGGCATAATGTTCTTAAGTTATTGTTGTATGGTACAATTCCAAATTGCTAATCGAATAACAATGAAGGGAGTAGAGAGCAATGGGCAGTCTTCTTATAAATTGGACAATTGAGATGCAATGGATAACATGCCTGCTTTCGATTTTGCCTGCAGGCACTCGAAAGCTTTTTATTGCGATGCCCAAGGGATATCTCAACATATTGTGATGAAATTTTGAATCTTACCTTGGAATATATAAGTTATGATCCGAATTTTATGGACAACATGGAAGAAGATACTGATGATGAGAATCTTGAAGAGGAGGAAGATGAGTAAGTTTTCTTTTATGGGTTATATCCTTCATGGTGCAACTTGAGCTGGTCACTCATGTTGACCTTTATTTTAGTGGGAGTGCAAATGAGTACACCGATGACGAAGATGCGAGCTGGAAAGTCAGGAGAGCAGCAGCTAAGTGCTTAGCCGGCTTAATCGTTTCTCGTCCTGAGATGCTTTCAAAACTATATCGTGAGGTATGACTTCAAGTTTTTGGGAATGTAAAAGAAACCAATGTAAGAAACAACATTTCCTTTACCACCTGCTGCTTCATCTTGTTTGATTTTGTCTTGTCTTCCATCTATTTCTTCTGTAACAATAATCTTGCATCTATCGATCTTTGGTCTGAAATGTTGCAATGTTTATTATTATTATTATTATTTTGTCAGATAAACAGTGGAAGTCTCATTTTTTTTGCGAGGAATACAATAATAACTGTCGTTTTGTCTTGTGCAGGCCTGCCCAAAACTTATCGACCGATTTAAGGAAAGAGAAGAAAATGTTAAGGTATAGGGAATGCATAATTACCAAACCTGAAAGCGTTTCTGTATGATCATTGGTCTGAACATCTCGTGCTGCAGATGGATGTGTTCAACACATTCACCGAGTTACTGCGGCAGACAGGAAATGTGACAAAAGGACAGGCTGAGACAGATGAGTCAAGGCAAGTTTTCTGCAATCTTTGGCTCCAGTCTACCTTCAGATAGGTCTTGTTGTCACATTAATGAAGGATCCATGTAAACCAAATATATACATTTGCCCCCTGCAGTCCAAGATGGCTATTGAAACAAGAAGTCCCAAAGATTGTGAAATCCATAAATAGGCAGCTGCGAGAAAAGTCAGTCAAGACAAAGGTATGAACCTGTAACTCTAGTCTTGGTTTATTTCCTAATATATATGTTCATAACATGTTAAAACCTGTGCAGGTTGGTGCATTCTCCGTACTGAGAGAGCTTGTGGTTGTCCTGCCTGATTGCCTCGCCGAGCATATTGGTTCTCTTGTTCCTGGAATTGAGAGGGCTTTAAATGTATGTAGGAATATTGAAATATGATATTTCATGTGGAGCTAGTGTCGTTCTTTTTCTTTTTGTTCAAGTGGTTCTCTTTGATTATCCAGGATAAATCTTCTACTTCAAACTTGAAAATCGAAGCTCTTGTTTTCACAAGATTGGTTTTGGCTTCGCATTCACCTCCTGTTTTTCACCCATACATCAAGGTTAGCAGCCCTAAACGTTTCTTGCCTTTCAAAATATTCATCTGTTGTTCAATGATTAATATTGAGTCTGTAGACTTTAAAGGCTTGATCTGATTTGGTTGTGAACTTTATCTCGATGTAGGATCTTTCTAGTCCTGTTTTAGCTGCTGTGGGTGAACGTTATTACAAGGTCACTGCTGAGGCATTAAGGGTCTGTTGGGAACTTGTCAGAGCAGTGCGTCCAAGTATTGAGGTGAGTATCTTATATCATTGGTATCTCATTGCTTCCCTCTTTCTTTCTGGTCTTTTTGTCTAGTATCTGGGTTGTGATTTTGAGCTATATTTTTTTCCAGTAGACAGTGTGGGTTTGCTCATCTTCTGGCCCTTTTTGTCTTCTGGTGTAGGGCACAGGTTTTGATTTTAAACCATATGTTCATCCAATCTACAATGCGATAATGTCACGCCTCACAAATCAAGATCAGGACCAGGTTCGTGGTGTTCCTTTTGGAGGTCCATTTCTTTTTGTGTGAGAGATCTTAAATTTTATTTATTTTCTATGTCCCTTACTAAATTTGGCCTGCATATGAATTACTCTCGGATAATTTCATCTTATTTCATTTCCAAGAATTGGTAAGTGTAGGGATATTGTTGTGCTTGTTTGGAGTTCGTACTATTTTTAAGAAATTCTTAATTTGAAAACTGAGTACAGAATTGCCTTCCTGCCACAGGAGGTCAAGGAGTGTGCTATTACCTGCATGGGTCTTGTAATTTCGACATTTGGTGATCAACTGAGTACAGAATTGCCTTCCTGCCTTCCCGTACTTGTTGACAGAATGGGAAATGAGATCACTCGGCTTACAGCAGTAAAGGTGAGTCGATGTACTTCTTACTAAAAGCTCTTTTCTCGATGCCTGTCTGGCTTGATCGTCACTGTCTATGGTTGTGGATACATGCAGGCATTTGCTGTCATTGCAACTTCTCCACTGCACGTTGATTTATCATGTGTCTTGGATCATTTGATTGCTGAACTGACTGGGTTCTTACGAAAGGTATCTCTTTTGTACATTATTAATATTTGAGTAGCTGTCGCTGTGATATAAAATTCTCTTTGTTTACTGTCCCATAAGCAGTAAAGAGCTCCTTGCATACAATGGCTGTGTTTTTTAATTATATTCTTGTCAAACAGGCTAACCGAGTTCTAAGGCAAGCAACACTTGTGACATTGAACTCCCTGGTAACTGCTTATGGTGATAAAATAGGTTCCGGTGCGTATGAAGTTATTCTTGTGGAGCTTTCATCTTTGATAAGGTTTGCTTTGCTCATCAAATTGGATTCCGCTTGTGTTTTTCTCCCTTACTCCTGAGTGGCAGTTTTATTAGAAGGATGCGTTTCATTTGTTCTTTCAGTGTTTCGGACCTGCACATGACAGCTCTTGCACTGGAGCTCTGTTGCACTCTGATGACCGGCAAAAGTTGCAGTGAGAATATCAGCTCTGCGGTTCACAACAAGGTTCTTCCCCAAGCTTTAACGTTGGTTAAAAGCCCTTTGCTCCAGGGTCAAGCACTTTCGGTAAATTGCTCTCTTTCGCTGGGCTTCATCATCTTCGCCTATGCATTTGAGACATACTGACAAAAATCTGTTGGATACTTGTCATAGGCTCTGCAAGGTTTTTTTGAAGCTCTGGTGTACCATGCAAATACGAGTTTCTACACTTTGCTGGACTCTTTACTTTCATGTGCTAAACCTTCTCCTCAGTCTGGAGGTGTGCCAAAGCAAGCACTATATTCGATTGCACAGTGTGTTGCTGTTCTCTGTCTTGCAGCAGGTGATCAGAATTGTTCGTCTACTGTTAAAATGCTTATGGAAATTCTTAAAGATGACAGCGGTACGAATTCGGTAAGTTCCATGGCATGTATTCCCAGGTTATGGAAAACCTTTAAGATGACAGCTTGTGGGCCTGCATCTATTGCCAGGTTTAATTTTATGCTGATGAGTCTTTGATGATGGTTTCCTGTATAGGCAAAGCAACATCTAGCTTTGTTGTGTCTGGGTGAGATTGGGAGAAGAAAAGATCTAAGTGCACATGCTAACGTTGAAACTATCATCATTGAATCTTTCCAATCCCCTTTTGAAGAAATAAAGTCTGCAGCTTCTTATGCGCTTGGAAACATTGCTGTTGGCAATCTGTCCAAGTATCTACCTTTTATCTTGGACCAGATTGATAATCAGCAGAAGAAGCAATATATTCTGCTTCACTCACTTAAGGAGGTCTGTTGCCTTAAATCGATATTCATATTCTATCTTGAATTTACATGTGCTGATGGAACCTTTTTTTTCTTAGTTGATGCTGGAATTCATTGCTTGTTTTTTTCCGGATTTTATAGGTTATAGTTAGGCAATCTGTTGATAAAGCAGATTTCCAGGATGCCAGTGTGGAGAAAATACTTGCTTTGCTATTTAACCATTGTGAAAGCGAGGAAGAAGGTGTGAGGAATGTTGTTGCTGAATGCTTGGGCAAAATGGCTCTGATTGAGCCTGAGAAACTAGTGCCAGCACTTAAGGTAGAGGACCACTAAAAAAGAATAACCTTATGCAGTTAGTTTTATGAATCATGTATAATCTTTCGCGGTGCATACTGCAACAACTTCAGGTGAGGACGACAAGTCCTGCTGCTTTTACTCGCGCAACTGTTGTCACTGCTGTGAAATATTCTGTAGTCGAACGACCAGAGAAGTTAGATGAAATCATCCACCCGGAGATTTCTTCATTCCTTATGCTTATTAAGGACAGCGACAGGGTGAGTCAGAGAAAATAAAACAGTGTGCATTGCATAAAAATGGTATTGCTGTATATAATCTTAACTTTTGAGTTTTTCATGGTTTATCAGCATGTTAGGCGTGCAGCTGTGTCGGCTTTAAGTACTTTTGCCCACTATAAACCTAATCTTATTAAAGGTCTCCTTCCCGAGTTATTGCCACTTCTCTATGATCAAACAGTTGTGAAGGTAATTCCTTCCGAAGCCTGAAAATGCTAACTAGCGTTAGACAATGCTATTTTACCAGTTTCCTCACGAAGTTGATATCTTTTTTTTTAATTGTACCTGGGCATCGGCATTTTGGTTTGAATCAACAATGAAATGTAATGACTTTGTGATGTGTGGCAGAAAGAGTTAATAAGGACAGTTGATCTTGGACCATTTAAGCACGTTGTGGATGATGGGCTTGAGCTAAGGAAAGCGGCATTCGAGTGCGTATTCACATTACTAGACAGTTGTCTTGATCAAGTAAACCCGTCTTCTTTCATCGTTCCTTACCTTAAATCAGGGCTAGAAGGTGAGTTGCCTCTGTCTCTCTTTGCTTTTTTATCTCGGTATGTTTCAACTATGGATGTCTGATTTTTAAATTGTTGTTTTTTTTGTGTGTGTTTAAATGGATTGAATATAGATCATTATGACTTGAAGATGATTTGCCACCTAATACTCTCGACACTGGCAGATAAAAGCCCATCAGCTGTATTAGCGGGTAAGTCTGAAAAAACAGCGAGTTTCCTTCCACTTGGTTAAAAATATATAGCATGAATGAGTAGTGATGGTGGTGGTGGCGGTGGGTGGGTCAGTGCTGGATTCGCTGGTGGAGCCACTGCAGAAAACGATGAATTTCAAGCCGAAGCCAAACGCGGTGAAGCAAGAACATGACCGCAACGAAGACATGATCCGAAGCGCTCTGCGTGCCATCTCCTCCTTGGATCGAATCAGGTTATCTTCTCATCATCATGATGCCCTCTCTCTCTCTCTATATATATATATATGTATATGTTAAAATAAATAAAATTTTCAAGTAGTAAAGTAAAATATTGACATGGTTAAATAAAAATGGATGGGACACAGCGGAGGGGACTACAGCCACAAGTTCAAGAGCCTAATGGCGGAAATGCACAAGTCGCCCCCTCTCTGGGACAAGTACCTCTCCATCCGCAATGAGTGACGGTGAGCTAAGTTACTTTTAGTCTGGCCAACCAAAAGAAAAGAAAAATAAGTGAGCGATTTTTTTTTTGGTTTCAAATTAAAAGGGGTTTCAATGGATTTTTTTTTTTGTATGGAATGTTATTTGTAGGCGTCTGTCATTTGAAATCGATTGAGATAATTGTGTCGTCCCTTCCTATTTCCAAACACTTTCTCCGTCCTAATTGGCTCTTTAGTTCCATTTTCTTCTTCCGCTAATGCCACTCCAGAAAAAAAAAACTTTGTAATTGCAAAAAAAATATTCAATTAAAACCACTTGCAGGTATATTTGCTTTAGGATCGGGCTCAGGTTTTCTTAATGGGCCATTTTCCAATACACCAAGTTTTGGGTCACTTTCTTTGTAGCCCAAAACCCTTTTTATTAAAATTTTTGCACTACAAGACTTCGTTCTATTGACCCCATGCCACAACATTTGTGAATTGTTCCTTGAGGGAAATTGTTGATATTATTTTGTGAATATTACTTTGCAGTATATCCACCAATACTGCAAAAATTTGTGAATATTATTTTGGCATTTTCTCTTATTTCTACAGAGTTTCTTGGCAATATTCCACTCATATAGCTAGCATTTTTAATTTTTATTCTCATTTGTCAATGTTCCACTCATAACCGGTATATAGGATTACGAGGGATTAGCACAAGAAGCTCCCTCTCTCTCTCTCTGCATCTGGTCTTTGGAGAAAATCCGGAGTCAATTTCAAAATTCATGTAGAGAACCCAGCTATTCAGCATCTTGCCTCCACTCGCTGTTCGATGTGTCAACTCAATTTAGCAGATAATTCTGTTTGACGGCGGATCAGCGGACATATCGACGTTGATCTTGGGAACCAAAAAAAATGGCGATTTCTGCGTTAGCCTCCGTATCTCCATTCGCGTTATCTTCCTTTTACAGGAAAACCCATCTCGTAATTTCGGCACCCACTAGGGTTTCTTCTCCGAATTCTCCAGAGAAACCCTGGTTGAGCCAAAACCTTTTCCTACGACCCCAAAATTCATGTCTTTTCCATCCGTTACGCCGTAATTTCACCAGGTTTTGTTATTTTCGAGATGGGTTTGTCGGAGAAACCGGAGATGAAAAGGATAGTATCAAGCTTCCATCTTTTGATGTAAAACCAGTGAAATTCGCAGTATGGGTCGTGTTCTGGGCTTCTCTATCTCTGTTTTGGTTCGCGAGGTCAGGTGATGCGAAAGCTGCGACGGATTCAATCAAAGCATCGAGCTTCGGTCTAAGAATCGCCGCCGCTCTCCGCCGCTCAGGGTGGCCGGACGAGGCGGTGGTTTTTGCTTTAGCCACTCTTCCGGTCATAGAGCTCCGTGGTGCTATTCCCGTCGGTTACTGGTTGCAGCTCAAACCCATTGCTCTCACTTTCTTCTCTGTTATGGGGTCAGCCTTTCTTGTCTGTTACTAGGTTTCATTTTATTCGGTTTTTGGGATGAATCAGTAGTATCTTGATCAGAACTAGATTTGTTGTGAGTTTGGAACTCAGTTTAGGCTCACATCTTGTCTTAGTTGTCTTCTTCACTGGCTAACCCAACAAGTTCATCAAGACCAGAGCTCCAAGTACCAATGAGCTGAAGCTCATTAGTGTGAATTTGTCTGAACCTTGCTATTACAGCGCTTGAATCTATTCGTCATTGTCTTAGGTGATCATGAAAGTTATGCTGTAGAAATGGGGTGGAACAAGAGTAGATCATATGAAGATGTGTAACTTTCAAGTGTTGGATTTGTGTTATATATGTACAGGAATATGGTCCCGGTTCCGTTTATCATACTGTACCTGGAGAAGTTTGCGAATTTCTTGGCGGGCAAGAGCCGCTCTGCATCTAAGCTACTAGACATGTTATTCAGAAGAGCCAAGGAGAAGGCAGGTCCGGTGGAAGAGTTTCAATGGCTGGGGCTAATGCTCTTCGTGGCTGTTCCGTTTCCCGGCACAGGTGGGGGGAGGGGAGCCATAATAGCTTCAGTGCTCGGCATGCCGTTCTGGTCGGCTGTCTCTGCGAATTTCTTGGGGGTGGTGGTGGCTGGACTTCTGGTGAACCTGCTGGTGAATCTTGGTCTGAAACAGGCAGTCCTCGCTGGGATTGCTCTCTTCCTGATATCTACATTTATGTGGAGTGTTCTCAGACACGTCAACAAGTCTGTAAGACCATCTTCTCCTTAGATCGCTCTTGGTTTCACTCACTTGGTTTAGTAATGGACAAAGATTTCGTTGCCTTCTTTTCGTGTTATCATCAGTCAAATTGTCTATATATATCATCGATATAAATAAGGAAAGTGGTTAATGCTGAAAACGAATGAACGGTTGAATCCCACAAAAGAAGGGTGGAACAGTCATCAAGAGCTATAATTGGGTTAACAGAAGGAAGATGATGGTTATCCTCCATTGATCTTCTTCTCCTCTTATATCTCTAAAACTCTTCAACACCACCAGTTGTCGTATTGGGGGAAGATTCATCTTCCGTGTTATATAAGCAACCCATTAATGGGATAATCTATCTGTAATCCCCGAGCCCAAGAATCGTCGTCGACGTTAAAGCTCGAGGGTTTGCCCTATATTTCATCAGCACACACACACGCACAAATGGCGTCGTGGGATTTTGTAAAATTGGTGATTTTATTCGCGATATCGTCGTGGGCGTCGTCGTCGGTTAGAGGCCACGTGGCCGTCTTCGACGAATACTGGACGCAGCGTCAGGACAAAGCTTTGCGTCAGACCTTACGCTTCTACGACCCAAACCCTTTCAACGTCACCGACCACTTCAACTACCATGTCAACTTGTCCGTCTTCTCTCAGTTCTTTTTCGTCTATTCCTTCTGGTCTGAAATACCGTGAACGTCTTAGCAGCGGTCGATATTTCACCACCCTACATCAAGCATATCTCGGAAGAAATCGAATGCATTTTGGTGTTTAGGGTTCGATTTTCACGTAGCCTGTTGCGCAAACAACTGGTTTTAATCTTCTTCGTTGCCATTTTTTGCAGGGCGGTGGAGGAGACGATGAAAACAGGCAACAACGGCACGAGGAGAGAGTTACTGCAGGTGGGCCAAAGCCGAGGCCAACACCCGAAGCGACGCAACTTAGGAGGAAAGTGCGTAGCCTATAACCCGATCGATAGATGCTGGAGATGTGACCCCGGCTGGTCGAAAAATCGGAAGAAGTTGGCGGATTGTGCGCTCGGATTCGGCCGTAAGACCACCGGAGGTAAGGCTGGACCCTACTATGTTGTTACAGATGCATCCGACGATGATCTTTTGAACCCGAAAGCGGGAACCCTAAGGCATGCCGTGACGAGAGAGGAGCCACTCTGGATCGTGTTTGCAAAGAGCATGGTTATAAAACTGCAGCAAGAACTGATCATGACCAGCGACAAGACGATAGATGGACGGGGAGTGAGGGTTCACATCACGGGCGGTGCGGGGTTCACCTTGCAATTCGTGAACAACGTGATCATCCACAACATCTATATCAAGAACATCGTGCCTGGGAATGGCGGGTTGATAAGAGATTCCGAGACGCATTTCGGGCTTCGGACAAGGAGTGATGGCGATGGGATCAACATATTCGGAGCCACTAATGTCTGGATCGATCATGTCTCGATGTCCCACTGCAGCGACGGGATGATTGACGCAATCCAAGGGTCGACGGGGATCACCATTTCCAACTGCCACTTGACCGACCACCAAGAGGTAAGCAAACGAAAACAAATTTTACGTGTTATATAAAAAAGGCAGAGAATTTCATACCGAAATCTGCCATATTTTTAGGTGATGCTGTTCGGGGGGACGGACAAGGATGTGATAGACAAGAAGATGCAGATAACGGTAGCGTTCAACCATTTTGGGAAGAGATTGGTGCAGAGGATGCCGAGGTGCAGATACGGACTGATCCATGTGGTGAACAATGACTACACTCACTGGGAAATGTATGCCATTGGTGGTAACATGAACCCTACTATCATCAGCCAAGGGAATCGCTTCATTGCCCCTCCCAACGAAGAAGCCAAGCAGGTTTTTTTTGAGTTATGCTCTCTCCTCCGATTATAATCCACCGGAATTATTATAATCGATTACGAATGCTGTTTTTTTATTTATTTAAAAAAAGGTAACGAAGAGAGAGTACACACCGTTTACCGAGTGGAAATCGTGGAACTGGCAGTCGGAGGGAGATTACTTCCTGAACGGAGCATACTTTGTGCAGTCGGGGAGAGCAAATGCGTTGAGTGCAGCCCCGAAGAATCCAGTCCCGAGCAAGTTTGCGATCAGGCCGCAGCCAGGGACTTTGGTCAGGAAACTCACCATGGACGCTGGGGTCCTCAGCTGCAAGAAACGTAAGCCCTGTTGACGAAGATTCCAACAGTTGATGACACCCTTCAACGCAAGTTCGGTTCATAACTGGTTTTGTCACTGTTTTACATGTTGTAACTGAAAAAAAAAAAAGAGATACAAAGAAACAAAGGTAGTCTTCTTTCTGTGAATGGTGTTCATGATCATGAGTGAATAATGCAGAGTACCGACTATCATTAGAGTAGGTTCCCTCTTTTTTCCTGAAAATAAAAAAATGGAGAAAAAAATGCAAATATTTTGTTTCCCTTTTCTTGTCATTTCGGTATCTAAGGTTAGTCAATGAAAAAACACATGAAATAATCACCACGCTTAAAAGAATACATTAATTAGGGTTTATAACATAATAAGGTTACATGTATATCTGATAGAAAGCTTGGAATTTTCTTCTCGTATAAGAAGTTATAAAAAAAAGTAAAACGACAAAAAAAAAACGAATATGGGAAGCTGGCACAAGAATCAAACTCACCTTCCACTTTAGAAACAAGAGAACTAATCTTCAAAAGAGTTGCGTTTCGTCTATACCGTCTGGCCTTTATTATGTGTTCCACTGTTGTCACTTAAGAAAAAAGTCGGCGGTCGGGGCTGTGACTCGGCCTGGTCACCGTTGATGACAAAACTGAGATCAATATGATGGGTCGGGTCCATCAAGAGGATTGGAGTTATATCTTTAACCTTGATGCAGAAGATTCGAGCTTGCCAACGAAATCATAGCTGCCACTCAAATCCGTAACTGTGCATCGTGGTTCAGTAGCCGTTCCTGGCTGATAAATCTCGATTAACCCCTGATGAAGCACACCAAGAAACGTCAGTGTTAGTTCGTAAACGTAAAGATATAGAATGTATATAGATAGGATATACCTTTGGAGAAGAAGTTTCTGCGTTAGTAAGTAAACGTGTCTTTGAGTTCCCAGAAACTTGGAGCTTCCCCTGCAGTCCACATGAATCAACTGATTTTTTAAAAAAAAAAAGTAGAGGAGAAAATCTGGAACATTTCGAGTGATGCAACCACCAGTTTTGTTCATTTTTTTTCTTCGTCAGCAAAGAAAACATGTCTGTGTATTTACATGATCGCAAATGCTATCTATACGAAAGCTACAGAAATAAATGAAATTCCAATACCTCCATTAGAAATTCAGGCATCCTAACATTTTTTCTACCCATAGAGTTGCATAAATACATCAATCCCATATTTGCAATATCCTGCCAGGATAAAGAAAACAAAAAACAGATCAGCAATTGCTCATTCGAAATATGAGGAAAAGGTCAACCAATGACAAACATCTTGCAACAGGATCGAAATTCACCCTTTAGCCCAATGATTGACTAGCACATATTGAGGACATTACATATTCCTACCTAAGATCCTTTCTAATCTAATTCAAAGAACAACAGTAGAAACCTCTGAGCTTGGTTTTGCTCTTCCTTCTTACATCTACCCATAAAAAAAATCATGGGAAGACATCGCATATAGCTTCTTCTCATTCCCTTTGGCAGTATGAGAGAATAAAAAACATGGTACCTGCTTGTACTCCAATGTATCTAGTTTGCCATCCTGCAAAAAGGAAATTTTAGATGAATTAATAAATAATATAAAAAACACTTAGCCAATGCATGTTTGTTGACGATATGCCCTGACTTGAATATAATGGTGAGCATAAATGGAAAGAAGAGAAAGGCTTAAGTTGGTGGTTGCATAATATCTCGAATGTTATAGCCAGACTAGTTTCAACTTAAACTGGTGAACGAAGACAAAAACAAAGGGAAAACCTAAAGGCAAGCTTTAACATTGGCACAAATCAGTTCTTTTGGTGCAGATTAATGGAAAATACACCCACCACGCCTTCAAGTATGTCATGCATTGCCTCAAAATCTCCTCCAATTTTAATAAGATCCTCAAGAGCCAAATTCACCTGTTTTACAGTTTTGAAAATTGTTAATACCACATTCATGAGATAATTTAGAAATTAGGTTCTCCCCATACATTCTCTTGGATCTCCTTGGAGAGCTTCTTCTGCAAGTCCACCTTATCATCCACTTTCTTAAGTCGCTGTGCCAAGTGCTTCTTAGCAGACTGACCAACAAAAAGGAGAGTACAATTACATTGGCTGTACAACAACAGTTCTTTTACAATCATATCCAAAGATAACGACAGTAAATGGTAGAAGCACTCACTGAAAGAGTCTCTGAGATGCTTTCCAAATGCTTTGTCAAGTTTGATACAGCATTTTCCATGTTACGCTTTGTTATGCACATGATGTCAGAGAAGGAAATTCCCTAGTCCAAGGCAAGCACGAATAACTCAATACACCAAGGGTAATGAATGAGCCAACATGACTCGATATTCGTCTTTAATTTATCACTACCGATTACCGAATAAACCAAATTATCAATCTGAGGCCAAGATCACCATCTTTCAACCATTGGGAACAGATACAGGTTTATCCTGAAATCTAATCTTAAACGTCCAGGAGACATATTGAAGTACCAAAACTTGAAAACAAGTCCCAACATAGGAGAAAACAACAGATTTTGGACTGCTGGATACCTTGAACCACATGTAGCCATAGCCCACGACTCCCAATGTCGCTGCTGGGATTATGAAGGGGGTAAAGTCAGCTGAAACATTGAAGAATAGAAGAAGGTCAGATATATTGTATAACACAGCAACAACGGTGACTGAAGTGAGAAAAAAAAATGAAGAATTTCTGTCCGGAGACATACCACCGGGAGTTGCATTCAGAACGGTTATCTGTCGTGCCGAGGCCAGCTGCCGGACTTCCATTGCTAGCCGGTGCATCTATAAAAGCAACTCGAAAGAGCACAATTAATTTCACATACATCATATTTTCAGGCACTCGATCATCACATTAGACCAATACAATGCTGAGAAATGCTTTCTAATGGAACTGAGCTACATATACATCCACACGAAATAGTTCATAGCAAAAGCCTGAACATTTACCGCATCAGAGGCATCAGAATCTCCATCAGAATGCTCCCCAGATTTTTCAATTCGCTTCACCAGAGCCTTGAAATAGCGTAACAATTCACGTCAACATCTTCCCAAAAACCAGAAAAAGCTCACTGAAAGATATCGTAGCCGTACCTGTAGCTCACCGATAATCTCCGACAATTTGCCATTCTTGACCAAAATCGTACCTGTATAACCTACAGATACGGAGAAAACAAACAAGCAAAACCGTTGTAGCTCCGACAATCATCGAATCGGGGAAGATCAAGTTAGAGCATGGAGAAAACCTAATTACCTGCTCCCGCTAAAACCAAAATCTTCGATAATCCGATGCCGGCTTGCATAGACATCGTCACAGATCAGTAGTTGTCTTCTTCGACAAGGTCCCAAACTTCGCCGGCGAAGAAAGAGCTTCCGGGTGAAAACCAATTTCTGAGAAAAACGACGTCGTTTACTTTTATAAATGCCACAGTCGTCGCATTTTGACTAGAACGGATCTGAACCGTTAATCTCTGCCGTAAAGTAATAAACAAATCTCAACCGTCCATTGAACCAATAAATGCCGAGCTTTTTTTTCCCTTTCTTTGAAGCCTTTACTCAAACGGTGTCGTATGGGCGCATGAATATTGGCCGCTTGGCTCGTCCACTTTGACCGTACACTAAACTGACCTGGACCGTCTGTCGCTGCCGTGAAGTAATAAACGAATCCGAACCGTCCATTCTAAAATGCCAAGCTTTTCTTTCTTCCGCTGTCGTCGTAATTCCCAGAAGAGAGAAGCCGAAAGTTAAAGAAGAAAACGATGTCGCTGCAGTGCCTGCAACTCTTATCTTCTCCTCTAATGGCGGCAAATTCCAAAACCCTAGTAAACCCCATGTATGTTGACGCTCGCTTTCTCTCCTCGTCCTCGGTTCTCTCCGCCGGTGGTTTCTGTGTGAAGCAGCGTGGTGTCTCCTCGAAAGCGACGACGAGGGTGAAGTTCTCCGTCAAGTCGCGGCAGGCGGATTACTTCGAGAAGCAGAGGTTCGGTGACTCTTCCTCGCCGTCTCACTCTTCTCAAAACGGTAGGCTATGGAGTTTCTGTTCCAGTTTGTTTGGGTGCTGAGAAAATTTTGAAAATGGAAGTGATTCTGGTTCAAAATGGGGAAAAGGAGCTGCATAGAAAATTAGTCTCAACCCAGAAGAAAATTATGAATCGTTCGTAGATTTCATTCGTCAGATTGCCTCGTTACGGATTTAGGAGTAATGTTGTTTGTTCATTTGGGTAGCTGAAGGATTGCCGGCTCGGTTTTTCGTGGGTCACTCGATATACAAAGGGAAAGCTGCGCTTACAGTGGAGCCTAGAGCACCGGAATTTGTGTCTTTAGATGTAAGCTTCATTTCCATGCTCTTGTAATTTCGATTGAGTTTGGATTTTGACATCTCTGTGTTTCTGGTTAAAAAACTTGAGTCTGGAGCATTCAAGATATCGAGGGAAGGTTGCGTGATGCTGCAGTTTGCTCCTGCAGCTGGCGTTCGGCAATACGACTGGAGCAGGAAGCAGGTTTGCTTTGAAATCATTTGTTCTTATCATTTGAACTTTATGTTTTAAGAATTATGTCTCACGGATTATGACAAGATCCCCCATGAGTTTGATGGAAACGGGCAGTTTTTTTTTATGGTATGAATGTGGTAACAAGTGTTTGATGTTGAATGGATTATGGTGCAGGTCTTCTCATTGTCTGTTACAGAAATCGGACATCTAGTTAGCCTTGGCCCGAGGGAATCGTGTGAATTCTTTCATGATCCTTTCAAAGGAAAAGGGTATGATCCATGCCATCTGGTTTCATGATTTTGATTTTGTTGTCTGTATGTTAAATATTTCCGGTGTTGTGCTGTCACAGTGATGAGGGGAAGGTGAGGAAGGTGTTAAAGGTTGAGCCCCTGCCCGATGGTTCCGGTCACTTCTTCAACCTAAGTAATCTTCTTGTCTGAATTCTTAACTTGACATCTTTCATTTCTCTGCACCATTTCTCGAAATAATGGTTTCCGGCTTTTACTAATTATTTGATGAAGGTGTTCAAAACAAGCTCTTGAACATGGATGAGAGCATATACATACCCATCAGCCGAGCAGAGTTCACAGTCATTGTCACTGCTCTCAACGTAAGTTTTCTCTCTCTGTGTATACATCTTTCC